TGGCTTCCTGGGCTCAGGAGATCCTTCTGCCTCAGCCTTCCAAGTAGCTGAGACTACAGGGGTGCACCACCACACCCAGCTCATCTTAAAACGTTTTTGTAGAGACGAGGTCTTGCTGTGTTGCCCAGGCTGGTCTCTAATGCCTGGACCCAGGAGATCCTCTTGCCTCAGCCTTCCCAAATGCTGAGATGACAGGCATGAGCCTCTGCACCCAGCCCCAGCTTATAAAATTTTTGTTGATTTTGATCCTTCTCTTGTTCTTTGTGGGAGAACCTTTGATGTTTAGGGAGATTTGGGGAGGGAATAAGGTTAGTTCTGTGGGATCAGTGTACCACCTTAATCCCTATCAGGCTGTTGATTTCTATATACTTTGTGCCCAGTCCCTCCATTCCCGCTCTTGATATTTGTGTGAAAGTGCAGTTGAGTTCTCTTTCTCCTGTCTCATTACATTGTTGTTACCTTCAGAATCGTGGTTCACCTTCATTTCTGATTCGAAGTGGGTAAGCTTGTACCAAACACTCAACTCTAAGATTTCCCTGAAAGTAGTCTACCCGAGGAGAGCTAAATACAGTAGGGCCTTTGTTTATGTCATTGTCTTAGTGTTGACGCTTTATCCTTGATTGCATATCTTACTAAGTTCACAAGCTTGTTACCTGTTCCTCAGAAGTAGCTGGCATTTAAGCATCTTGCGTTGGCTTCAACCTAACTTTTTGTGTGATGATAATTTTGTTTTGACCATCTCTGCAGATTTTCCTTAGCTCTTACATGGATGTATGGTTTTTAGTAGTAATTTTCATTGCATGAAAAAAAATCAGTTGTATGTTACATAGTCATAATTTGTGGATGAATACGATACCACAAAAAGACATGTTGAAATCCTAGGACGCAGGTCAAGTATTTGCCTAAATACTTTCACTGAAAAGGGGGGGTGATCCTTTTTACACTCTTTCATGTGGTCTGGGCATTGTGCTAGGGATTTGCATGTCCAGTGACTTGCTTGTCCACTAAAAACCTTGAAGTCACATTTTGTCCTGTTTACAGTTTAGAAAATGGTCACCCAGTGAGGTGAGGTGGCTTGCTTAGTTGTCGCATGGCTAATCGGGAAAACAGTTACTGTTTTCAACAGTATTGGAAAAGTAGTCAGAGCTTTCTTGTGTTTATGGAATCAAGAAAGTGATTGGTGGTTAATTATAAACCCAGTGGCTTTTGGTGGTGGTTCGATTGATGTATGGGCTGGAACTTAACAGCAGGTGAATTCCCCCTTTTCTCAGGGCAGATGGCTGCAGTGAGCTGAGTGGGTGCCCCGGGTGCCGCTGGCTGCTAAGGAGCAAAATAGAAGCTGGCTGCCATGAGAGGGCAGCGTGGAGTCAGATTGCTCCTTTCCAGAAAGTGTTCTTTTCTGTTGTGAGTTTATTCAAGTATTGAAAGGACTTGGAGGGCTCATGTGTTAACCTTCTTCGCGTTTTACAATGCACTTAAACTGAATTATTGCCTCTTTCCTTTGTGTGTGTGTGTGTGTGGTTTTTTTTTTTGTTTTGAGTCGGAGTCTCATTTTGTCTCCCAGGCTGAAGTGCAGTGGCTCACTCTTGGCCACCGTAGTCTCGACCTGCTGGGCTCAGGCCATCCTTCCGCTTGGCCTTCCAAGTAACTGGAACCACAGGAACACACCACCACGCCTGGCCAATTTTTTAAAAAAATTATTGTAAGCCGGGCTCGGTGGCTCAGCCTGTAATCCCACGCCTTTGGGAGGCTGAGGTGAGTGGATTGCCTGAGCCCACGGGTTCGAGACCCGCCTGGGCAGCGAGACCTCATCTCTACAATAAATCAAAAAAAATTAGCCGGGCGTGGTAGTGCATGCCTATAATTCCGGCTACTTGGAAGGCTGAGGCGGAAGGATCGCCGGAGCCCAGCAGGTCGAGGCTATGGTGGCCGAGCGGCCACTGCACTCCAGTCTGGGCGACAGAGTGAGGCTCCAACTCAAAAAAACAAACAAATTTATTGCAGAAATGAGATCTTCAGGGTGCCTGAATGAAACATAATTGTACACCTAACCCTTAACTGTACCCCACAAAACCATAATAAAAAAATATTGATTTAATTAAAAAAAAAAAAAAAAGAAATGAGATCTTGCCATGTTGCCCAGGCTAGTATTGAACCCCTGAGCTCAGGCAGTCCTTTCACCCCGGCCTCCCAAAGTGCTGGGATTACAGACTTGAGCCACCATGCCCGGCCTGAGGTGAGTTTTCTTAATCATTCCATACCTGTTCTGTTCCTACCTCTTCACTGCCAAGTTTCTGCTCTACTTAGAAAATTGAGAACCGGGCTCAGTGGCTCAGCCTGTGATCCCGTGCTTTGGGAGGCTGAGGTGAGTAGATTGCCTGAGCCCGCGGGTTTGAGACCTGCCTGGGCAACTTGGTGAGACCTCATCTCTACAATAAAAACCAAAAATCAGCCGTGTGTGGCAGCGCACGCCTGTAGTTCCAGTTACTTGGAAGGCTGAGGCGGAAGGATCGCCGGAGCCCAGCAGGTCGAGGCTGCGGTGGCCGGGAGCGGCCACTGCACTCCAGTCTGAGCGACAGAGTGAGACTCCAACTCAAAAAAAAAAAAAGAAAAGAAAATTGAGGTCAGCATGCATAAACTACCTTAACTTTCCATTTGCTATTTCTTCATAGATATACATTCCAACTCTACTTTTGCCCTCTTGCTGTTGAGATAGAGGTAACTCTTGCACCTGGGCCCTTGTTCTAATCTACTTAAGAGCCACCCTCCCTCAGGTGTTCACGACTTCTCCTGATGCTTCAGCTGTTGACTCTGCTGGATTCTTCCTTCATCGGGCTCTTTGCAGTGGTCCCCAACCTTTTTGGCATCAAGGACTGGTTTTGCGGAAGACAATTTTTCCACAGGCAGCGATGGGGGTGGTTTTAGACAATTCAAGTGCATAACAATTATTGTGCACTTTATTTCTAGTATTATATTGTAATATATAATGAAATAATTATACAACTCACCTTAAAAAAAGAGGCGTGGACGGAGATGGGCAGGCTACCCATGGACTAAGATAAGTGTCAGATTCTACTTAAAGTCTCCCACCAGATGCAGCTGTACAACTGAAGTCCATCAACTCACTAGCCACTCACGGATAGGGTTTTGATGTGAGTCTGCAAAGCAACTGACTTATTATGAGCTGTCAAACCTCATGGCTCATGTTCATCTGTATTTGCAGCTGATCGCCAGTGCTAGCATCACTGTCTGAGTTCCACCTCAGGTCCTCAGGCATTAGATTCTCATAAGGAGCTGCAACCTAGATCTCTTGTATGTGCAATTCACAATAGAGTTTGCGGTCCTATGAGAATCTAATGCCTTCACCAGTCTGACTGAAGGCAGAGCTCAGGTGGTAATGCCAGTGATGGGGAGCGGCTGTAGATACAGATGAGGCTTTACTCACTCACAGCTCACCTTCTGCTGTGCTGCCCGGTTCCTAACAGGTCACGGACTGCCAAGGGCTTGAGGACTCCTAGCTTAGTGCATAGTCAGTACACAAACATGTTTGTTGAGTGTAACAAGAGGAGTTAAGAACTTGGGGAAAAGCTGGGAAGGATGGCCCACTCCTGTAATTCCAGTGCTCGGGGTGCGGATTTTTTTTTTTTTCTTTTTTTTTTTGAGTTGGAGTCTCACTCTGTCGCCCAGACTGGAGTGCAGTAGCTGCTCCCGGCCACCGCAGCCTTGACCTGCTGGGCTCCGGCGATCCTTCCGCCTCAGCCTTCCAAAGTAGCCAGAATTATAGGCATGCGCTACCATGCCCGGCTGATTTTTTGATTTATTGTAGAGATGAGGTCTCGCCTGCCCAGGCGGGTCTCGAACCTGCGGGCTCAGGCAATCCACTCACCTCAGCCACCCAAAGGCGTGGGATTACAGGCTGAGCCACTGAGCCCGGCTGGGGTGGGATGTTTTATGTCTGTAACCCTAGCCCTCTGGTGGGAGGATCACTTGAGATCCTCCTGTAGGAGTTCTAGGCTACAGTGAACTATGATTGCACTCAAGCCTGGGCAACAGAGTGAAACCTTGTCTCTAAAAGGGAAAACAAAGGAAGACTTGGGCATTTTTTCCCTTTTTTAACTATAAAGGGTGAGTAACTTAAAATGAGTACTATAAATTGAATGGACATTTTGTGAAGGACTACTAAAAATTGCATACTTAATTTCCATCAAATTCCAAAGAAGTTACATGAAATGGTTAATGGGAGAGGGAAAACTGAATGAATAAAGATAATACAAATAAAATAATTTAAGACTGGGCTTGGTGGCTCAGCCTGTAATCCCAGCACTTTCGGAAGCTGAGACGAGTGGATTGCCTGAGCCCGCAGGTTCGAGACCAGCCCGGGCAACTTGGCGAGACCTCGTCTCTACAATAAATAAAAAAAAAAAAATTAACTGGGTGCAGTAGCACATGCCTGTAGCTCCAGCTACTTGAAAGGCTGAAGCCCGGCTCGGTGGCTCAGCCTGTAATCCCACGCCTTTGGGAGGCTGAGGTGAGTGGATTGCCTGAACCTGCGGGTTCGAGACCTGCCTGGGCAGCGAGACCTCATCTCTACAATAAATCAAAAAATCAGCTGGGCGTGGTAGCACGCGCCTGTAATTCCGGCTACTTGGAAGGCTGAGGCGGAAGGATCGCCAGAGCCCAGCAGGTCGAGGCTGCGATGTCTGGGAGCGGCCACTGCACTCCAGTCTGGGCGACAGAGTGAGACTCCAACTCAAAAAAAAAAAAAAGAAAGGCTGAGGCAGAAGGATCGCCAAAGCACAGCAGATTGATGCTGGGGTGGCCATGAGTGTGCCACTGCACTCCAGCCTTGGCGATGGAGTGAGACTCAAACTCAAAAAAAAAAAAAAAAAAAGGAAAATAATTTAAAATTTTACTTCTGCTGTTGTTTTATTGCAGTAAAATGCAAAAAAACATAATATACTTGAATTTTTTTCTCCTCTGTCTCTTGTAGGTTCTTTGGCATGGACAAATGTTCAGTGAGAGGAGTGGATTTGGCTGGAGAGACTCCTGCCTTGTTGGGGAGGGCGGCGATGGCAGCTAGTTCCAAGGACACAGGAGATCTGTGTGGCGATCCAGCTAACCCCTTAGTGCATGGATCTGGAAATGCGTCAGAGGAAGATGATGATGACGATGTCGTCTTCATTGAATCTATACACCCTCCCTCCATTTCTCCAACAGTAGGTGATCAAAGAAGCTTTACGTTTGTGTCATCAAAAAAGGAAAGGCCACGAGGAGATGATTCTGTAATTCTTCCTTCAAGAGATTTGGCTTCTCAGAAGGGAAACGTAAGTGAGACAATTGTTATTGATGATGAAGAGGACATAGAAACAAACGGAAGGGAGGAGAGAACTTCTTCCCATTTGACTGAGTGGGGACTTCCTGGCACTAAACACAGAACCAAAGATGTGGATTTCTCTACTTCCAGCCTTTCAAGAAGTAAGGTAAATGCAGGAATGGGCAATGGTGGTATCACTGCTGAATCGACTCTGAAATACGTGTTACTAATGTAACAGCCTTAGGAACAGGTGTAAGCTCAATGCTGGGCAAGATGTGAACTTAATGAGTACACATGTGACCTCCCTGTAGAATACCAGCTTGGGAGATGTTGCTAACGGACTACAGCCAAGTAGTTTTGGTGTTAATATACAAACATACACCCCGTCTTTAACTTCACAGACCAAGACTGCAGTAGGACCTTTTAACCCTGGTAGGATGAGTGTGGCAGGAGACGCATTTCAGAACGGAGAGTCTGCAACTCATCATAGTCCTGGTAAGCAACTAGTAATGTTACTTTCTTCCTACCTCCAGTAAATAAAGTTCTGGCTGTTCTTTTTAGTATTCATGTCTATTTTATTCACATTCTATATGTGAAATATTTTATTCTCTTGACTTTCACATTATGATAGAATATTTAATAAAAGTGGCTTGCCTTGGTAGCTCAGCCTGTAATCCCAGCACTTTGGGAGGCCGAGACAAGTGGATTGCCTGAGTCTGCAGGTTCAAGACCAGCCCGGGCAATTTGGCAAGACCTCATCTCTACAATAAATGAAAAAAAATTAGCTGGGCATGGTAGCCGTATGCCTGTAGTTTCAGCTACTTGGAAGGCTGAGGCAGAAGGATCCACTTGAGCCCAGCAGATCGATGCTGAGGTGGCTGTGAGTATGCCACTGCACTTCAACCTTGGCAACAGTGAGACTCCAACTCATAATAAATAAGTAAATAATTAAAAGTAAAACTATGCAGACTACTTGGTTTCTGAAATTTAGGGAATTTAATTTGCTTTACTCATGATTTACATCTAAAGTATTTTAATTGAAAACTCCATAACTATTGCTACCAGCTTTGTTTACCTTGTTTATATATTTTTTATTCTTTTTTTAAATTCTTTTATTTTTTGACTTGGACTTTTACTCTGTTACCCAGGCTGGAGCTCAGTAGCACACTCACAGCCACTACAGCCTCGACCTGCTGGGCTCAGGTGATCCTTCCGCCTCAGCCTTCCAAGTATTTGGAACTACAGGCGTGTGCCACCACGCCTGGCTAATTTTTTGATTTATTGTAGAGATGAGGTCTCACCAAGTTGCATAGGCTGGTCTAAAACCCATGAGCTTAGGCAGTCATCTCACCTTGGCCTCCCAAAGTGCCGGGATTATAGGTGTGAGCCACTGCACCTGGCCTACATTGTTTATTTTAATATAAAAGTTATGGGATAAAAAGACAGATGGATGACAGGGCTTGGTGGCTCAGCCTGTGTAAGCCCAGCACTTTGGGAGGCCGAGGTGAGTGCACTGCCTGAGCCTGCAGGTTTGAGACTAGCCCGGGCAACTTGGTGATACCTCGTCTCTACAATGAATCAAAAATTAGCCAGGTGTGGTAATGCGCCTATAGTTCTGGGTACTTGGAAGTGTGAGGCAGAAGGATTGCCGGACCCTAGCAGGTTAGTGTGCTGCTGCCCTCCAGCCTGGGCAACAGAGTAAGACTCCAACCTCCCCCACCCTCGGCAAAAAAAAAATAGATGGCAAGGCCAGGCTCGGTGGCTCAGCCTGTAAGCCAGCACTTTGGGAGACCAAGGTGAGTGGATTGCCTGAGCCTGCGGTTTAAGACAAGCCCAGGCAACTTTGCAAGACCTCCTCTCTACAATAAATCAAAATAATTAGCTGAGCATGGTAATGTGTGCCTGTAGTTCCTTGGCTACTTGGAAGACTGAGTCAGACGAATCACCGGAGCCCAGGAGGTCGATGCCGGGGTGATCATGATTGTGCCACTGCACTCCAGTCTAGGTGACAGAGTGAGACTCCAACTCAAAAAAAAAAGACAGATGGTGAGCTGAAAAAATAAAGTAATATTTTTGTTAATAATTGAATTTAATTTGTAATTATTTAATGTAGAAGTTTCTATTTTTTTATTGTTGAGTTGGAGTCTCACTCTGTCGCCCAGACTGGAGTGCAGTGGCCGCTCCCGGCCACCGCAGCCTCGACCTGCTGGGCTCCGGCGATCCTTCCGCCTCAGCCTTCCAAGTAGCTGGAATTACAGGCGTGTGCTACCACGCCCGGCTGATTTTTTGACTTATTGTAGAGATGAGGTCTCGCTGCCCAGGCGGGTCTCGAACCTGCGGGCTCAGGCAGTCCACTCACCTCAGCCTCCCATAGGCATGGGATTACAGGCTGAGCCACCGAGCTCGGCTAGAGGTTTCTATTTTTACTTTTTTTTTGAGTTGGAGTCTTACTCTGTTGCCCAGACTGGAGTGCAGTGGCACACTCACGGCCACCCCAGTGTTGGCCTCCTTGGCTCCGGTGACCCTTCTGCCTCAGCCTTCCAAGTTGCCGGAACTACAGGTGCGTGCTACCACGCTCAGCTAATTTTTGATTTATTGTAGAGGCGAGGTCTCGCCAAGTTGCCTGAGCTGGTCTTGAACCCATGGACTCAGGCAGTGCACTTACCTCGACCTCCCAAAATGCTGGGATTACAGACTGAACCACTGAGCCTGGCTATTTTTACTTTTTTTTTTTTTTTTTT